ATTCTGTGAAAATTTTAAAATGAGTCTAATCAAATCTATATGGATTTAATAAAATTGTTAGCTTTTTATTATTTCATCAAGGATTCACTTTGTCTCACTCTTCTAGATATGTCCATTTCCATTCTTCCTATTTTCTTTCCCTTCTTTTCTTCCTTATTCCTCATTCTCAATTTATTCATTTAGTCAATAACTATTGTCTGTGTACTTTCTATGGTCTAGTTACTAATCTAGGGAGCTAGAGTCACAACGATGAATAAAAACAAACAGTAACTACCCTCAGGGAGAGTACATGATAGTGGTGGAGAAGTAGGTAGTAAAGAAAATAAAAGTGTAAATTTAGAACGTTAAATACAGTAAGTGCTAAGGATAAAAAAATCAAGCAAAGAATGAAGATAAGTGTGTAGGAGTTGAAGTTTCAGGAAGAGTGGCGTCAAGAAGTCAATATTTGTACAAAAAAAAAAACTTGAAGGAGGTGAGGGAGAAAATCATGTAGGTATTTGGGGAAATGGCACTTCTGAAGGAGGAAACAGCAAATGCGAAAGTCTTGAGGTGGGAGTATGCTTGGCACATCCCAGGAACAGTGGAAAAGCCAGAGCGGGTGAAAAGGAGAGAGTGGTGGGGAGTGTACCAGGAAACGAGTTCAGAGCCAGGTCATGGAGGCTGTTTAGGTAACTGTAGGTATCACAGCTTTCGTCCTTTGGTATCATCTGATTCGGATTTTAATTAGATCACATTGGTTACTGTACTTAGAATGCAAAGGAAGCGGGTGGGGGGGGATCACAGAAGTTCTGTGGCCATGTCACCTCTGAGACACATGTTGGATGGCCACGCAAGGGTGTTATTTAGACATCAGTGGAGTTTAGGGAAGCATTATGGGCTTGGCACACACATTTGAAAGTTGTTTCCTAATAGTTCGTGATATCATTCAGTGAGAATCACCTGAGGAATGAGTGTAGACAGAAAAGAGAAGGGTTTGAAGACTGAGCTCTGGTCTCCAGTGTTCCAAGTTCAGGGCAATAAAACTGGACAGCAAAGGAGACTGAGAAGGAGTAGCCATTGAGTTAGAGGGAGAGTCAGGCGTGTGTGATGGCCTAGACACCAAGCAAAAAGGCACTTCAATGTCAAAAGGTGACTAATTGTCATATATTGCTAAACCAAATAAGATGCGGACTTGGAATTGATCATCAGATTTAGCAATCTGGAGGTCATTGCTCAATAAAAGCCATTTCTGTGGAGAAGTGGGGGCGAAGGCCTGACTGAAAAGCTTTCAAAAATATGGATAAGTACACACAACTCTTCAAAGAGCTTCCTGTGAAGGGAAGACAAGACATGGGCAGCAAGCGCAAGGCAAAGTGGCATCAGCAGAGGTTCCTGTATGCTTGTTCTGCTGGTTTGGCCAATGAGAGAAATACCAACCCATCTATTCACTGATGGGAATGATCCAGGAGAGAAGGAAAATTTGATGCACAAAGAGGGGGAGAATTACTCAAGCAAGCTCCTTGAGTAAGCAAGAGGGCAGGATTAAGTGCACAAGCAGGGGCTAATAAAGACAGGAGCACAGACGAGTTATCCCCAAGAACCAGAAAGCAGAAAATGTATCACCAGAGATGCGAGTGGGCAGGTAAAAGTAGAGATGGAACTTTGTAGACTTCTCTGGTTGCTTCATCTTTCTTAGTGAAATACGAAGCAAGAAAATCACCTGAGATTGTGAAGGCAGGATTGGATATTTGTGGACAGAGGAGAAAGCGTGATATTATTGTCACAGGAGAGAAAGATTTAATTAAGGGAATATTAGGATCCCAGGACAGCATCATGGGCTGCCTGAGGTCAACGAGTGTGAATTTAAAGTGAAATCTGTCAATGTGGTTATGTGTTCTCTTCTGCTATGGTCAGTTGTAGGAGAGAAGGCAAGAGTGGGTGAAGAATCAGACTTGGCTACAATTCTTGTTTAACAAAAAAATTACAATGAAACTTGAGAGACAGAGGGAGTTAAGAATGTTTACAAGGGAGTAATTAAAATGATGAACCATTAAATTTAAGCTTGACAATGTGGGGGTGGTAAAGAATAAAGGGGATAAGAGAGAATGAAAAGATGGTAGATTCCATAGATTACATTTTTGGTGAGTGTAAGGGATTAAGGTGCTACAGGGAGTAGAGAAGAAATACAGAAGGTGGTTGTTAGAGTGAGATGTTTGGAATTCAGATTTAGGATAGGTTGCAGTTATTAGGAAGGAAAAGATGAAGGGCATAACCAGGCAAGAGAGTAAGGGATGGAAGATGGAGCCTGGGCAATATTGGAAAGATCACCTTAATGGATATTGAAATCAACAAGTATTAACACAGGAGCAGTGCTAGAAAAGTGACAGTGAGCAAAAGATGTGATTAATGAGTGGGAATAAGTAACCTGGGATGGCAGAGGTCTGTAACAGTGGGGGTAATGGGTGGGTAGTAAGTAATGGCATGAGATTCCAAGTCGGATATTTTTATGGAGGAGAGAAGATGTACTACAAGCAGCAAAGAAAAGCAAGGAAGAGAGTTTCAGGGGAAGCAGCAACCTCAGAGGAGAGGTAGGTTTTCCTAAGAGAAAGGAGGTAAAAAGAATATTCACAGAAGAAATCAAGGTGCAGAAGATTCTCCTAATGACTGACTTTGAGTATCAAAGAACATAGTGAAAAAAGGGATAGAATATAGGGAGGAGTAGGAACTGGGGTCCAAAAAAGTGATATAAAAATTTGGAGGAGGTTGAGTACTGGAAATGAGGGATGGCTTGGAAGTCTTTTTATAAAGGGGCACCATCAGCTTAGTCCTGATTATTCTCAAAATGGGTGGGGTGGAGAGGCTGTGAATGTTGAGGGGAAAGAAAGGGGTGGTAGGTGGCGGTCTTGCCAAAAGCATACAAGGCCATCTGACTCCTGATAGAGGCATGGAGTCCTACAAAGGGGTGCAGTCTTAGCATAGAGGGGGGTTTCTTTCTCCTTCTGGGCTCAAGGGCTCAAGCTACTCCTTGACTTCTGCTGAAGGGAGGTTTCTGGGCAGGGAAAGGGGCAGTATTGCCCTAATCCCAACTAGTTTGTCATCTACATCCTTGAATGATACTTAGAGCTTAATTTCTTATCTAGAGAACAATGTACTGAATAAAACACTTATAAAAAATATACTTGGATCAGAATAAACCTGATGACTCAATAGCTAGGATATGGAGACACACTGCAAAAAAGGCAAAGATGCTCGCTGACTGGTATCCGAGAGAAGTCAGGCAGAGAATATATATCTCAAATTAAAATATCTCCCTAACTGCCAATCCTGGTGCCTGAAATGTCACCGTTGGGGAATCAGGGAATTTCAAGTGTAACTGGGACTTTGAGAAAAAGCAACATGGTGTAGCAGAGAGAGTACAGGGTTTGTCATCCCACTGATTTGTGTGTAAAGTCCATCCTGGGGCCACATCAGCTGTGTCTTGTCAGTTAACTTGCTCTCATTTTCTAACCTCCCAATTGAATATTCCCACATCACAGTTAGGGCAAGTTTCTGTTGGGTGGAGTCATGTGCCAAGGTCTCATGTCTGCTTAGGGCATGAAATAGTCACACGGCTGATTTAGGATACTAGGGTTGACTGACTGCGTGAAGCAGAAAATTGAAGAGAATATACAATGGGCAGATAATGTGGATATCTGCAAAGTATGGCATATTAATATGTACCTCAGCTTTAAGCAGCAAAAATGTCCTGGATCTCTCCATAATCTTCAATTCAAAGCACTGCCCTGTGAGGTATTTGAGTAAAGACCACTTATTAGAAACTCTGTCGAGATAATTCACCTCCAAGATCTCTTCCACTTATCGATTCTAGAATTCCATGAAACTGCATGATAATTGGACAGAAGAGTCAGGGGAATTTTATAAAGCAGGAAAACCTACATTCAGTGTTTTCCCCAAGGTATGCAGAGCCCTCTCATTGCCTTTTGGCCATTCAAGGATTGCATCTCCTCCCCACCCAGACATACACACACACACACGCACGCATGCACGCGTTCCCTCCCGTGGAAATGACCCATAGTGAGACCACATAAGGCTCTCATCACCCCACCTACAATGTCCCATCCCTCAGCTGAAAGGGCTCCCCCGACCCCGAGGGGCAGTGAAGTGGTTAAGAACACAGGCTTTGGCAATTCATAATGCTGGATGACTTGGGGGAAGTTATTTAATCCTCCTGAGTTTTACTTACTCTTATGCAAAAGGGGGGTAATAAGAGACCCTTGAAAGTGATACAGTACAGACTAAATGAGGTAAAGTGTTTAGTGTAGGGCCTGGTACACAATAAACATTAATAAATAGACGCTATTAGTTAATTCTTTGTTTTTTCACGGCCACCTTTGTTTTGTTGCTCTATGTATGTTCTTGCCGCTGCTGTTGTTGGTTCCCTGCCGACATGTTAGGATGCTGACATCACCCACCCCTGAAGTGATGCCCACCCGGGATTCTCTCCAGCACACGGACAAGAAAGAGAGCAGCCGATGCATTCCCACTGTGCCTGAGCCATTCACTTATCTAACAGTCAGTCTGGGGTCCTTCAGCCCCTCTCAAACCATACAGAGGAGTATCAGCCTTGTCTTTTGGGGACCAGGTGACTTGAGAATAGGTCAGTTGCTTCCAAGTCTGTAGTCATTTCTGATTGCTCTGTACACAATCTTTTTTTTTCAGTGCTAGTTATGGAAGACTTAAATGTTTTTATTTATATAAATCAAGGATAAAATGTACAAATGACACCAAAAGGCTTATTCCATAGTCACATATATGAGAAAAATGATAGGCAAGCATTAAGTTGTGAGCTGTTGGAGGATGTTGCATTCTACAAACATATAATATGATCATATATTTAAAATTCATTATTTCTCACCTGGATTGACCGTGGAAGGTAACAATTGCAACAATTTTCTCTTTTGGCTCCATACTGCTTGCCCCATAGTCATTGTCTCTGGTTATCCAGAATGAATAACCCACAGTTGTCCAGAAATAACATTTATTAATCAACAATAAAACACACAATAGAAAAGGCCTTGTAAATAAAACTATATATTTATAATGCTTTATTTTTTTTTGCTCCAGTACTCCACAAAACACTACAGACAGTAACAAAATAATTCAATAAATATTAAAAACTTTCAAGAGAATTATAGGACACTCTTTATCGTATGTGAGCATCAGCAATGCCACAGCCATTGGACACGTTATTAAACACTATCAAACACTATCATAGATATCTTTCTTAAATAAGAGATATGATTATATTTTTATTCAGGAGTCATAACATTTACACATATCCGTACACAAGAGAAGAGCTCAGAGTAAGTGAAGCAGACACCCCAGTGAAATGGAATCATCTGCCTGTGCATCATTTAAAGGTATTACAGTGTTAACAAGATAGAGGTCAGCACACTAAAGAGAAATGTTAGGGTTTGCTTGGGTGGGAGGAGTGAAAGCAGGGCAGTTAGCGAACGCTGCTTACATGTTTTCCATGGCTCTCTTAGCAATGTGCTCCCTTCCCTTTTCTGCCTTTTCTTGGTTGAGGTATTCCAGCACTTTCATTAACAGATCTTCATCCAAGTACTGTCTGTTTGGAGAATCATCACTCTTCGGGGGCCCCACAGGGAACCTTTTGCTTACTGAGGCCAGTTTGTCAGTCTCCTGAGACCCATGTTGATTCAAATGCTCTTTGATGACCTGCTCGATTTGGTTCTCTTCCTGTAAGTCATCCTCTGATGAGCCTTGGCTGGGAACTCGCTTCACTTGGTTTGAATTCATGATCTCAGGGTATTTAACTAGCATCCTGGCCAAGTACTCTCCTAATTCCTGATCCTTGTCATTCAGGTTTTCATATGTCATTTGCCTGTTTTCAACATCTGGCATCCAGACAGCTTTGGGAAGTTGGCTGGCTCTAGATCTTCCAGGACCATAGGGGAGTCTTGGCAGAACCTTCTCTCGGTTGTACTGATTGGGAAAGTATGGAGGCTTTTGATTTGCTGCATTTTCCATCCCTAAAACATTTAAAATGTCCTCAACACTGAGCCCATCTGGTAAGGACTCTGTCCCACCACGACCAGGTGTTTTGGGGTAGCCATTCTTGGAGAGGATCTTATTTTGGAACAGATCTGGATGGTCTAAGTCAATGTCAGAGATGTCATCTAGGTCAGCAGGAATTTCAAGATCCTGCTCTGGTTCTGCTGATCCATTTGGCTTCTCTCCAGTTTTGAGCATGTCAATTAAGTCTTCAGGGGGTATCTGTAAATTCCTTGAGATTTCAATCAGCTGATAAATAGACTGAGCATCAAGTGGCTTCTCAAAAAGCCTGGCTGCTCTTTCTCCGCTTTGCCCATTCTGTGACCTCCCACTGCCTGCAGCATTCACTAACCTTTTCAGATAGGCAATTACTTTGGAGACATCATCTGAGGGTTGGTCTTTACTGTCTTTTCGAAGATCGTCATCCTGGAGACCCAACTGCCCTGAACGCTTCATTTCGTCATTGATTTGTTCACTTTTTTCTACATTCTCTTTGCTGTCTCTTACCTCTTCCTGGGTTTGACTCTCTATTTTTTCTTCTACTGGGTTCCAATCTTCTCCCCCAACCACATCTTCATAGGCAATGTTATTGGCCTTGTAGATATCATCTTCATCGTCTGCGTAAAGTTTTTGCTCCTCATCAACTCTCTCACGCTTCTGGTTGTTTGGTCCCGTCAGCTTCCCAAGCTCTTGGAAGACAGATTCCAAAGTAGCGAGACTTTGAGGAGTATATTGTTCCTCCACTATTTCATTTGTGCGCTTAAAGGGGTTGTCCCTGGAATTCTCTTCATACATTGGAGTGAATCGCATGTGCTTGAGCTTTCTCTCTGGCCACTGTTGAGTCTCGTAATCATCAGGCACATCCACTGGAAAGTTCTTCTCTGCATTCAAGGCATAGGGTTTATTTTCTTTTGGTACAGACTGGGGCTCATTTTCAGCCTGTCTCAAAGCTTCAAGTATTATCTTCATCCACTCATCTTCACTCAGGGAATCCCTTGAAATTTCTGGCAAGTGACTTTCATCACCATTTTCTTTTTGCTGAAGGGGAACAGAGACACCTTGGTAGGAATTGTAGTCTGGGTTGCTTTCTTCTTTGTGAGCTTGTTGTCGGAGCTTTTCTATGTACTCCAAAGCCCTGATCATTTCAGGACTGGGAAACTTTTGGACATTTTCTAATCTGAGATCTGGTTCCTTCTGAAGCAGCTGGTTTCTCTGAAATGAAGCTGCTTCGGCCACAGAGAGGAGGAAAATTAAAGGGATGAGAGACAGGGCTGCTCCAAGCCAGTGAGTCTTAGTTTCTGCCATGTTTGAAAGATTCCCTTAAAGCATAGAAAGCATGAGTTAACACAAATGAAACAGACTGGTAGATGCATAACAAAAAAAAAGTAATTGACCATTGAGAAGGAAAAAAACATAGCAGAGATTATTTCACATTAGTTTAGAATGACTTTTTAAAATCTACAAAGATTTTCTACACAATCTCCACAAGCTAACCACATGAATCTTTAGCAAAATTGTTACTCATTTGCATCAAATTTGTGTGGTATTCTCTTGGTTAAAATAATAGCAAAAACACTGATATGAGGTTTCTCAAGTTTTATTTTTTAATTAATAAAATATACTCTTTGTTTTTTAGTATACATTGTTTTCTGTTTAATAAAGGCTTTTCAAAATGAGTTTTAGTTATCTTGTATAGCATTCCTATCAGTCACTGACAAAAAAAAATTAGTTGGCTTAATTTGAAACATGTCATGTACACATACACACACAAAGAGCTATCTCCATATCAAAAAACATGTGATTTAGTTCTGGAATTGTCCATCTAATTTTGTTGTAGAAACACAGCAGCAATGACCTGATTATATATGATGAATGATATACCATGTAAATGTAAATCATCCTGAATTATCTTGTGGATGAGTCCCATTCACATACATTTTCAGAAATAACTTGCTCTCAATCTGACACCAAATCCAGCTATTCATTATGGAAGATCTATACCTTAATAACTTCCAGAATATGGGTCTCCCCAGGTCCCAGTTAGTAGGTAACCCAATGAAGTTTTTTTTCAATACCCCCAAAGAAGTATTTATTTATACATTGAATTCCAAAACATTTAATTTGGAAGTCTGGCATTTCATAATCACTCGTCTTGACTGACATGTGATGACACACATGTCCTGTCAGGATATACAAGGATAATAGCCAGAGTCACAAAAAAAATCCATGATATCCGATGAAGTTTATTTTTGTGTAAACATACTAAAATATAAACTGTTTTAAAATATCTGTGCTTCATATTTCTTCTAGTAATTTTATTGTGACTGCCATATAAATGCAGTCATGATTATATTTTTTATCAGCCCTCAAGAGTGTATGGTAAATGATAACAGATGCTACAGAGAGAACATAAGTTTTCTTTACCAGTCTATTTCTGAACTTGTGAGTGTTCAGATTCAGCTTGACTTAGGTCTATGTCTATTTTGGTGTGGACCTATGAAATCTTAAATGACTCACACTGTTAGAAAAATCTTAAAATAACCACTATGTAACTCCCAATTTAGATAAATACAGACAATGTGTTGAATTCTTCCTACTTAAAAATCTTCATTCATTTTTTTTTCTCCAAAGCCTGACAGTCTCACGTATGAATTAGCAAGAGGATTAGTTTTCATGTGTTTTACATTTGGCATTGCTAACATTAAAAAAAAATCTATTTTAATGCTTGCAGTTTTTATTACAAATAAAATAAATATAAAGGAATTTTATAACTATGTTAAATGATATCTTACCTGAATAATGGTTTTGGATATGTAAGCTATGTGGGTACAATTACCTGTTAGCTTAGACATCAATTGTAAAAAGTATCACTGTTCACTAAATCATATTTGCATTTAAGTAATGTTTTCAGTTTTTATAATGTAAAAATGGTTGTACTTACAGAAATTTATTAGCATAGATTTATTTATTAAAATTAGCTATTAAATACACATATTTACTTAAAATATCACCATTAACTTGATGACTTAGTTTACTGAAGACAAAATCTTTAAAGGCATGTCAGAGAAAACTTCTAAAATATTTACTATGAGTCAGTGTTTACTAGAGAGAATTTTATTCATAAATTCTTAGGTTTAAGTAAAATTACATTATGCATTCTTCTTTATGTTACTTCAAGATTAGGTTTGTTGATCAATTTTCAACATTGGCATTTGAAATAGTAATTTTAAGAATCTTAGTGAACCTATTTCCTTTGAAATCGTTATCCTGAAGTAGTCTTAATATATGGGTTGGTCTTTAAAATCATTATCGTGTTGGTGGGCTTTGCTGTGGAGTCAGGGCAGAATATTCAATGCAGCTATTTAAACCACAGCCTAACAAGCACTATTGTTTGTCATTTATTCAGATTCAGTTTGGATGACATAGTTATTGCCTTTGAGTAAGACTCAGGGGATTTCTTTCCCAGGTAGCCGCTCTTAAGTCGTGAAGATGGTTTCAACAGCTCTAATGTCCTGTTTGGGTTTGAACTAAAGCCTCATGATTTAAAATGTCTTTTCCATTGAAATTAGACTAGAGCAGTGACAAATGAAGCTGGGTATATCAAATTTGAGCAATTCAACTAGTTAGGATACAGAAAAAAGAAACACTTGTCCCATTCAAAATACTTAGCAAAATATTATACAATCTCTTTCAATCAAAGCATAATAATAATGGTAGTTTATACAGCTATGAATGTTTTCCTCATGTATTCCAAATTATGATCTCTCTGTAATTCATTGTGATATCCAACCTATAACCCAAGATAATATTTCACACTGAATAAATGGAAAAGCTCTTTTGAATCTAACTTTCCTAGGGCTAAAATTAGAAAAAATAATGGAAGCCTTTTCATAGTATACCAGCTGAGAAAATAATTCTATATATTTATTTAAATTTGAGCTCTTGCAAGGTAAATGTCAAAGGGAAAAAAAAACTAATTCCAAAATTGGTTGCCTCTATAACTAACATATTTAACAGCTTTTGAATCATTGGAAACCTACTGTAAAAATATTAAGCATATAAATTGCATCCCTGGCCTTGTATTTAGTTCTTGGGGGAAGAAACAACAAATTAAGGAAAGAAACAAAATATCAGGCTTGGTTAACTTTACATTAATAATATATTAACACAAAAATGCATAACTTTTTCACGCTTCTTACATATGACTGTCTAAATAACATTGTGGTTAGTAAATACCCAACAACAAGTGGTATAAATTATAGATTCAATCATATATATATGTACACATATATAGTGTCATTACATTGGCCGATGAGCAGCAGGTTGCTGTTCAATTTTTCTATAGATATAAGCTTGTCAAATGGTCTTTTTCTTCTTAGTTAGGAATTAAGGAGAGAACACGCAAATTAGAACTTTCCAGCAAATTGAAGAGAAAAGCAGTCCTACCTCTTTTTTTATATGGCAGAGAAGGTCCACAGCATGTTCCTCCTGGTCCGCGGCGTGAGCTGGTCGGACGGTTTCAGCACCCGGACAGCTCCTCGGCTTATAGGGAGCCGCCGCGCCTGACTCCGCACTGCCACACTGACGTCACCGGGCTCAGCCACAAACCCGAGCACAAGCGAGATTTTTTCAAAGAACCCGAGAGAAAATAATCACTTTATGTATTAAAAAAAAAAAAAAGTTGCATGCTTACGCCACCTGTCTTTTTGTAGCAAAAACTGCAGTTCTCTTTTTTCCTTTTATCAAAATCTTTGAGGCTTGAAATCAAATGCTTTGCACAATTTCCTTTAGAAAGAAAGAAATCTGTCAGTTAGACATGGCTAACTGCAATTAAATCTCATCTCTGTTCTAACATCTTGTGATAAGGTTTTCCTGTTACTGTCACTGTTGCTGTCATCATTATAAGAAAGTTTTAAGGCAGGACATTTTTTTCCTTCACTGCCCACAAAGAAATTACGTTACCATTCCTCAGTATGCTCCGAGAGGAAAAGAAGGCACATTATGAATATGTAAAGTCATATTTCATATCATTACCACAAGCAGCTTTGTTTTAAAACCTTACGTATTTGAAAAAAAAAAGTTCTCTCTCTTTTATATGAGTCAACTTTAACATTCTAACGAGTTGGATTTTTGCTTTAGAGCTTCAATATAATTTTGAAGTGAGAATTTCTAAGATCTCATGTCTAGTAATTGATAATTCTATACAAATTTGTTGGTACCTTTCACAACATCTGATCTCAAAAAGGGAAGCTCAGAAGTTAAGTGTTAATGAAAATACTTTCAATAAGAAAAAAACAGTGTGATACATATGTAATTGTAGTTCATTTGTAATTGAAAAGAAGTTATACTGTAAATATTTTCCTTCTACAGTTGAATCAGATGAATTGAACACCTTCTATAAATATAACCAATCCAGGGAATAATATAGTAGTTAACTTCCAACCTTTCAGACTTGTAATTCATAATTATTGCTATGCTTTACCAGGTAACCTTATTATTTATTTTAATAATTTATATGTCTAAATCTTAACTTCATTTTATTAAAGACATGATTTTCCTGAAAACTATGTGTTTTGAAATATATTTTAAGCATGCAAAAGAATCTTGCTATATAAGAGATCCCTTATGCCTCTGTTAAATGGATAATCAGCCACTGGTTTTTCCATTAAGTTGTAATGCCTACTAAATGTTAGATACAAGATGAGATATATATATAGATATATAGATATATAGATATAAAATATATATGTTTTTATATATTTTATATATTTTTTTTTCTCTTTTGAGGATACTTTGGTCTAGTGGGGATGACAGACAGATTATTTTGATCTTGATTTTTTTATTGAAGTATAGTCAGTTTACCATGTGTCAATTTCTGGTGTACAGCATAATGTTTCAGTCATACATATACATACATAGATTCATTGATATAAATTGGAAAGCCCTAAGAAAGAGGTCAGCTACCAGTGTTTTGGTAGCATTGCGGAGAGACACCTTGTTCAATCTAGAAATTTGAGGAAGAGGGTGGAATTCCTGGGAAAAGAAGCCTGAGCTGGGATTTCTCATTTTTACAAAAGAATTTCTAACTATGCTACATAAACCACAATACTTTTGAACTCCTCAAGGATACAGAAATAGTTTAAAATATTAGGGGAAAAAAACAATCTTGGAAAAAGTGATCCTCCCTCTTTGTTCTCCTGGTGAAAATATTTGATTCCTAATGACTGATAGACTATCATTTATGGATTGACATGGAACTCATCCAGGCTCAGATTGGAATCCTATGGCCAGTTTATCTAATCTATTTATGCCTCATAATGGGTTTTTAGAGCAAGGTTAAGTGCTAAGCTGAAGAGACTTGAGTTAACAAATCCCATTTCTCAAGCACCACCTCAATTAAATCAGCCCATATCTTTGTTAGCTTTACACACATGATGACATTTTCTTAAATCTGGCCAAAGATAGGCCACTCTGAGTTTAACCTAATTTGCTTCCCAGTAGTTCTATGTGGTCAGTTGAACTAACCAGTACCAACACAGCCTCAGAAAATCCCACAAGATTACTTTTAAAGGGTTGAATTGGCTCAGCATAAGTCTCATAAACCCTCAAGGAAGTCACTCATGACCAAGCTAATTTTACATATATGGAATGGAACTTTTTCAAGTTCAAGGACTTTTTCAAGGCAAGAAGTAGAAGCTATTGTTCTTCCAAGGCCCCAAAGTCAACCTCTTTCCTGAGAATGTCTTCAATCATCCAAACTCCAAATAAAACCTCATTCAAAAGCTCCAAGTAAAAGTAAGATGTCAGGAGGCAGCCACTGGATGGGAGAGCAAAGAGCCACATGTGAGTGACTGAATTCCTGCCTTTTATAGGATTCTATGATAAACACCTATCATTTACTGAATTCCACTATGCTCCAAGCACTGTACTTGGAGCTTCAGCAGCCTAATTTATTCCTCGTGACAGCTATAATAGATAGCTACTTTTATCTCCATTTTGCAGATGAAGAAACTGAAACTCAGAAATAACTAAAGTAGCCACTGTGTCCTCACTCATAATTGGTAGAGGTAGGATTTAAATCTAGTTGTTTACAAAGGTATTTCCATAATAAAGACTATGATTTAGGCACTCTGCTAGGTAACAGGAATACAGAAATGACTATGGCATGGATCCAATCATTAAAGTTCCAAGTCTAGAATGTAGTCACTTCTACAGAAATCCTCGGAGTTTGCCACAATTGCTTTTCCTGGTCACTTCCCAGATGGCATAGATCCAGACTCCTATCTAGGACAGCAAAGATAGAAAATAAGAGTCAACATTAGATCATTTCCTTGATGCTATGGGGCATATTATAATGTCTTCCAAATAAGAGAGTAGTTATTGAATTTGGAAGATTCGATTCTGCTGCCTATGATTTATGGATTTTTCAATGAGTTATATTTAATATATCTCTAGAAGCCATTAAATTTTTGCCAGTAATTATTTGTTCTAAAAGAAACTATTTTCTCTAATAGAAACCTATCTAGAGAAGTTAAAATGCAATATACATAGAGAAAGTAAACTTTTTATTGATGTGAAATCCTTCAGAGCATGTGTAATACATTAAAGATAATCTGTAAATCTTTTTATCATTAAGCCTGAGATAAGATCCTGTTAAGTGTTCCTTACAAAATTTTAATTTTCTGTTAGGTCTGAATTGTCAGCTATCATTGCCTCCAAAAAACAAAGCTCTGTGTCTTGGACATTTTCAAAATAATTATGTACTGTGTATTACAATGGTTTTTACTAAATTATCTTGCCTCCTCACTATGGTGCTGTTAAGATCAAGCTAATTGTTCACAATTTAAATGTAAGTAATTAGACTGAACTAATTTCTTTTATGATTAGATTTTCTTAAATCTTAGTCATTTTGTCCTTTGTTACTCAATTTCATATTTCATTTACACCAGACTTTGATTTTCCTGTCATTTGTACATGCAATCTTCTACCTTAGTAAACCTTCAATTTGAAAAGTCTCTCTCTTCCACTTCATTGCACTTCTCATTTTATTTCAATTTACATGAAAGCAATTAAGATCCAGAAGCTCAATATGTCTTCTTTCTCTTCTTTCTCTCATCTTCTTCTTTCCTGTCTCTAACTTCCTTCCCCATCCTTCTCTCCCTTGGAAGACAAGACTTCTATGGAGGAGTCCAGTCTGCAGCATGTGTGACCTGCATTCCCTATTATCCATGGGAGGATGAGGGTAATCTGCACTGTCTGCCCCCAGCCCCTAAAAGCCTGGGGTACTTTTCATTACTCATTCCTCACCTGTTTTCCTCTCTTCCCTTCTTTTTATTTTCCTTCTTTATATTCCCTCGTTACTTTTTACTTCCCTCATGTGTTGCTTCCAGAATTTACTTAAATGCCTTTCTTTTCATTATAGTACCATTTCTTTATTAATAAGTGTTCCTTCCTAGCATAAGATGAATTTTTTTAAAAATCACTATCAAAGAAAAAGTGAAATATCTTTCTTCTTCCCTTATGAAAGCAGAGTCTGTCAAATTGCTGTTCAGGAAACATACAAATTTGAAACTTGGTATACTTAATGCTATAGCTAACCAGTTTTCCAGACAAAATTCATTAGATTCTAGGAGGCCTTTGACAATGGCTGGTTGAATATGTATTGTGTTGAAATAAGTTAACATTTTCTCATTCCTACTGTCAAAGCTTCACACGCTCCATTTTGTAATGTTTTAATCCTCTCAAAGTGTCCTTATGCAAATGAACTGCCTTTATTTGTTTGAGCTTCAGGCACTGCTAGCAAATTATGCTTAGATTTTTTTTTTAAGAAAAATTTTCTTTCACTATAGGAGCACTCTATGCTTTTCTACTCTTTCGCTTATTTTGTAGAAAATTTTCTTAGTATTTGAGTTAAAATTTTATGGCATGTAAAGAAAAATGAGCTGTTTTTAATTCCAGTAGTTGTGCATTTTTCATAGTTTTTTTGTTCTTATCAAGGCACCACAGTACTGGTGGCTCTAGATGGATTAGATAACATTTAAGGATCTGTCTAACCCTTGAACACTGTGCCTCTTTTCTTTGTGAAATTAGGATCAACTGTGGAATTATTTTTGCATTTGTCTACTAGGTACTAAATATGATCTTGAGAACCACTTAAACCAAATAAATTTAGGCTTCCTTCTTCATTGCCTTTGGATTCTGGAACCATCTGGTGTTTGGAGGAAAAGAAAGTACCATTCTCTTAATCTAATACCATGCATATTTGAGCATCTGCTCCTTCAGTGGGTTTTGGGAGAACAAAGTTTGTGCACTAGAAGTTAATTACTTTGCTTAAAACAACACTGGATGTCTCACTCTTTCAGATTCTCCTGGCATAATTGTTTTGTGAATCAATGTTTTCAGTATTTGCATGCAAATATTTCAATAAGGATATTTTCTGTTGGGAAACAACCCAACTACACACTCCTACCCCTCCTTTTAAGAACATGCCCAGGGTGATGTAGGAGGGTCTTTAAGAACAAAGTTTAGCATCTTTACAGTTAAGTTTAGCATTTTGTGTCCAAGTAACTTGCCAGATGACTTTCACAGTTCACTAAGCCT